ACTGTAAACCTGTACTTTTTCAACCGAATGTTCATTCGGAATGGCAAGTCCGAGAATTTTCCGGTTTATGATCCGTCTGTCGAGGAACGTCGTATCCCGATGAGACTGGGAAAAAAAAGTTCGAGTGCAAGGACGAAACCTCGAATAGATTCATCGGCTGGCGTCTCGCCATTATTTGCAGGTCATCCATCTTCTTCCTTTGGTGACTCGTTGCAATGGTCCAGGGGGTCGGACTATTTTCTATCTTCATCTCAGTCTCGTCTTCTCGAGATCTTCTTGGCCGACTCATAGAATTCGGAGAAAGACTCGAGGATGATGGAGACGGATCAGCTCCTTGACGCTCCGTTCTCTCTTTGATGAGCGTGAAAAAAACGTGGATGGGATTTCTATTTCCCCACGAGAGACATCTAGTGGGGACTGTGTGAAAATCAGGAATTAGAACAAAAATCCAGCTCTCGTTCCCAGGCGATTTTCAAGCCAGTGTGACCAACCGCCGAGACAGGAAGAGAATTCGGCACAAAATTTGGCAAGCGACCAGATGAAGCATTCTGCCGCCACGTCAGAGGATTCCGGTACGATCGATGCACCTGTATCGCAAGGTATGTTCCCGCCTCGCATAGAGCGTATCTCGCAGGTTTCTTATTTACACAGTGACCACACTCTTTTGACCGCACCTGCCAGCGGTCGTGACGCGGAACTGGCACGTCTATCGAGCCTGCCATCTCTCGAAACCCATCGAGAGATGAAGTGCGGAGAATGAAAGGAGCACGGCGTCGTTCAGCTTCCCTGGGTCCACGGCTCGGCGGAACCAGAGGAGCCATGCATGCGCGATAATAAGAGCTTGTCTGCCTTACGAGCTGTCTTCGCTCGTGGGGGTCCACGATATTCGTCCGTGCAACGTCATGAGGAAGCGGATCCCCTGTTCACCGGGTCGGTCTTTCGCATTGGGTACGGGCAAAGCGTCTACCCAACATACATGCACTGATGAATCGTGATTTCTCGTTTGCACGCTGGAGTTAGTTTCTGATGTAATGAAAAAGTCCCAAGGATGGAAATCATACCGATGAAAAATCCATACGTATTTCCATGGATAAAGAATAACACACTCATGTGGCAAGGTGAATTCAGGACAACCCATGATTCTCAACCCCTTCTTGGAGTTGTCCTTTTTTTGGGGTTGAAATATGCATACCTACGTATGATGCGCAAACATATCACGAGACTGATGAAATCCAAACATGCACTGAATGCAACTCCCAACCTTTACAGCATAAAAAAAGGGCGGGAAGAGACTTGAAACGCATTCAGGCCTGATTGGTCTGTCTCCCTATTCAATTCGTCTGTGGCGGCGTCTCGAATCTATTCTCAGAGTTTTTGCAGGCCGTCGTTACACTGATTCGATTTATTCGTGCTCCATTTGCCAAACCTCTGCCAGTAGAGGGGGAAAGACCCGGGCGCCTCTAATAATTCCTTTCTGAATGCAGTGCTCCAAATCCCAGATTAAATGGTTTGGCGACCGTTCAGCACTTCCGTCCGCGAGTCTACCTCAGCCTCAGGAGAACTTTTCACCATTTCGGTAATGTCATTCCGTCGGGAGAGTGAGACGCGGTGGAGGACACATACGAACTCTCCCGCGCCCATTCTCTCCATGATAAGCGAGAAAAGAGGATGTCTCCACTCCCCCCATGTGGCACCTAGAGGGGGCTGAGTGATGGTCGCGAACGGATGGGTATCCGAATCCCCTGCAGTTTTCAGGGCAGACCGGAAAATCTCCGTGTCTGCCCAGGTCAGTCCAACAGCGAGGAAGGAGGAGCACCTGCACGAAATTTGGCACGCGATCGGATCAAGTCTACCTCCGGGGCATCGCCATCACAGAAGGCTCTCGGAATGATCGGTGGACTGCATACGTATCGAGTGGGAAATTGTCATGCGTCACGCAAAGTCCGCTAGTCTGCAAATGACCTCAGAGTTTCATATTTCCTCTCGACGTATCAACCGAGCAGCACCCTCGAACCAACAAACTCGAGTCATCCAACGACTTTCCGACAGTCTAACGGCGGCCCACCCTCCACGTCGCTTTCCAGTCACGAGAAAGCGGGTCGGACCCGCTGGGACAAACACCGGCACGTGGATGTTCAAGGGGGAAGACGGTGCAGGTGAGCACAACACATCCGGAGTCCATTAGTCAGACCGGGCAGTCAGATGAGCATGACGCCATTTCACTCCATCATTTATTCCTGCTCCGGTGAAGCAGCCGTGAAATTCCCCTCCTGACCGGAAAACCAGACCCCTTTTCAATAATGAAGCATTTTCGAGGTAAAACCCCTCCTTCGTCGTTCCCCGGTCCCTCGATGCGTGGAATGGGGCAGATCGACGGCTCGGAACTGAAGCCTGTCATTTTTATCTTCCCCCTTTCAGAAAATCTGGGCTAGATATTTCCTGTCTGCACGCAAATTTCCGACGTTGACGAGGTAATTACTCTTCAGGGAAAGCCGTGATTTCGGCTCGCGTTGGGAAAAAAAGTAACAGCGATGGCATAAAAATAGGAAAGCTTAATATGCATAAAATCGAAAAAGCCTAACTGATGACGTAGCGGGCAACGAAATAACGAAGTGCAGCAGAGGACAGGTTTCAAGTAAGTGAAAACAACATATTCCTCCATCATCTTCATATTTCACTTTTCGGTTTTTCAATTTCAGATGATGGATGACCTCAATTTTTTTCCCTCCCCAATCACTTCCGCTTCCGAGAGGCATCTTTCATATGCGAGAGATCCATAATTCACGGGAAAAGCCATTACAGCGTTATTAAAAAACTGCGATGGGGATGTCTGGCATTGAGAAATTAGGTTGAGCGAGTGCATTTCGTCCCCATACAGTGGGGGGAAAAACCTCTCTCTTCCTCTAATGAAGTGAGATTCTTTTAATGACAGGTTTTGTGTGCAGGGATGCATATCCGGGCTGCACATATCCTGGAGTCCTAGCATGAATGTCAATAATGAGCCCTCCCTCCATTTCCTCATCGACACGCCCACCATATAAATACGAAAAAACGAGAGGAAAAGAAAAGCTGCGTATGATCGTTGTGCGTGTTTTCTTTCATACGCTGCTTCACATGAAAAAAAGGAAACGTGGAGGCCTACGTGCTGAAAGTTATATTTTCCCCCCCACGTCAACGGCCGGAAAGGAAGAATTAGGCTGTGGAAATTGAAGGTTTCGTTTCTCCTATAGAAGACCGAAGAAATCGCAGCGGTAGTTTAGCATTTCACAAGATTTCTATGGAATATCGCTTAGGAAACGTCCCGAGGGTGATTCGTCCTTGTCACCGGTTATGTATGCGTCAGAATAGGAGAAACCAAGAATAGGCACACAACATAGGAAACCTGAAAGGGAGGAAGCCGCCCCCACAGAAACCAGAATTTCCCCCCTGTTACGAAATGACTGATCGTGGGAAACCTCATTCGTTTGATGAACTCCCCGAAATCCCACGCCGACGTTTACGAAGAAGGGGACACTTTTGGCACACTCGGATGTCCATTTCCGCGATTGCATTCACAGGGGCGAAAAGGCAAAAAAAAAGGGGGGGGGGGGGGGGGTGGGGGGGATGGGTGGGCAAAAAGAAAAAAAAAAGGGGGGGGGGGGGATTGGGTGAATGTGCACTGTGCAGAGCCATTTTGCGACGACAAAGCAAGACAAATCGATCCCCCATCTCAGGCACAATGAAGCTTTAGAAACCTCCTGATTCCTGGGGAGGGAATGTCGGAGGTTTAAATTTTTTCCTTTTTTTCCTTTCTTCCCTGCCCTTCAAATTACCCGGGAGTCAGTGCTGCAGTGCAAACGGGAGAAAGATGCAATTTGTCTAGCTGTCAGGCGATTGTGAGATGAGACCTGTTTGCCATGCCTTGTTGACATTCAAGTCTTTTTTTTTCCCTTCTACTTATTCAAAGAGAAGAGAGAACCCATTACTCCAGGGAAAGCGTGAGAAAAACGAATCAATGACAATATTTGGACGGGGTGGATGACGATGACGATGGTGACGATTTTTCGCACATCATCCCGTGGACATTTTTTTCCCTCTTTTTTTTATATTTTTTTCCCCCCTCTCCAGGGTCGTGAGTGTGCAACCGAAGAAGCCTTCACAGGATGCCTCGAGGCTCCACGAATTATCTTTCCTTCGTGACTGATCTCATCTTCACGCATGCGGGACTGACTGAAATGCTCTGTATAGCATCTCAACCAAAGTTCTATGGGAGGTGCATGCAGTTCTAGAGCAAATACAGACCCCCGTATTACCTTCCCGTTGTCATCCCCAAAATTTGACCGGACAAAAAAAATTCACTATTATTACCAACGACTTCATTTTATCTTAGCAACACCTTTTAAACTAGAATATTATCGTTCTGCCTCTGCGGGAAATGGAGTTTAATGGACAAGAAGAAACTGTTGACGAAGGGGGATACGCTTCCCCTATACCCTTAAATCAAACGGGTCGAAGCAAAGACCAGTTGACGAAGGTGATTTGAAAGCCTGACAATGCAATGATAAGATCCAACTTAATTTTTTTCTCCTCTCCTCTCTCTCCCCCTCTCCATCCCGCTGCCAGCATAATAAGGAGGCCAGGTCCGTCCTTGATAAGGGAGGCCTCTTTTCCCCCCTCTGGCATGATTGAAGAACTCCACACAGCGTACAACTCCACGCGTGTGTGTGCGTGTGTGTCTGCGTCTGTGCGTGCGTGTGTGAGTCCGTGCACGTACATCGGCGAATCCTGTCACGTCCACGCACGCCGAGATGTCACATTTCGATAATAAAAAGAAAAACCCCCACGGAAGAAACCAGTTCAACCCTTTTCTTCTTCGTCCATGATCCATCACCCTTGGCGTTGTCGCTTGTCACCGTTGAAGACGACGAAGATGGAGGGGAAAAAATCACATGGTTTTGATATCCAGCATTTTTTCTCCCTTTATTCAGGATCGATAAAACAATGATAATATATATCAGATATCCACGGGAGGGGGGGGGGGGGAGTTAATCCACACATGTATGGATGATAATATTTTTATACAGGGCAGGACTAGAGGACCTTCATTTTAAAAAAATCTCATTTTTTGTTTGTCTCTCGAACAAAAAAAAAATCACCGAGTCACAATGTGTGTGCACGAAAAATATTAGACATCGGGGAAGGCTCTACAACTTCGGAGGTCTACGATTAATATATTCAGGGAAAGGTGACAGTGCGATGGTATGAGTGCTGCAAAAATAAAATAGGAAAGATGGTCCCAGTGTGTGTGCTTTTTCCATATTTGAAGTTTTTCTCAAGTCTTGAAAAAAAGGCGTTTTTAAAGCTCTGCTACCAAAGTGACATAATTGCATGAATTTCCTTTTTAATAAGAAAAAAAAAACAAATAAGTTAACAAGGACACATGACACCCTATACAAAAAAGGGGCGAAAAGAAACAAAATTTTGTAGTTTTGTGAGAATCTGCATCGCTTTGAACTTGGGTCCCATTGAGATGGCATGCTTAGTTGGTTTTCATCTGAGATTCGAGGCATCCCTGAACGAGAATGGGAAGATTTTGGGGGAAGGGGGAGGGAAAAAAAAAGAGATGAAAAACCTCTCGCGTCGCGAGATCGAGATCGCTTCGTACGGAGATCGAAAATTTCTCATCATGAAAAATAACAAAAAGTAATACTTGAGAACACGCCATGAGCAATGCAGACCATCCTTTCTTCTCTTCCCTTTCGACAAACTTTTTGATTCTTCCTATCTTTCTCACTTTTCGTTCACAAACTGGGCTGGACTTTGTACTGATGGACCCCACCCGGCAAAAAAAGAAAGGTTATTCACAGGCACAGCATGATGATAATGGTTCCATAACCACTATTATAAAAAAAAATCATAATCCCTCTTTTTTTTCTTCTTCTTCCTTCAGGGTCTCTCGCTTCCCTTCCTCTTCTAGGTCGTGGTCCCTTCCTTGGTGGAAGTCGGAGGGGACTCATCGGCCTTGAACAGCCGCTGTCGCTTCCTCTTCGGATGCATGAAATCTACCGAGAGGAAAAAAGAAAATGCCTGTAAGCAACAAATACGTCCCATGCAATATGGCCATCCACAGCCTAGATAACTATATGTATAAACATTGAGAATAGACTTAATTTCAGGAAACAATACAACTCCACTCGAGAATAACGTAAGCTTAGAATATTTCTTTTTACCTCTAGGAAGATTACGAAAGGAAGGGAGATGCGATATGAAGCGGAAACATTGAAGATTAATTTACTACATTTCCTCTGACTATCGAACCGTCTCGCTTCCTTTTACTATCGACGAGAACCGTTAGCCTCAAATGGAAACGCTATGAACTGTCTTCTGACCTCTCCATGAAGAGAGAAGTACCTCGAAATTAAAATAACGGGTTCTTCTCCCGGTCATGAAGGGGTTTTTGAAGGTGACACTCGGTTCTCTTATAATGATTACGGTGCACTTATCCCGAGTACTTCATACTGACCTGTGATAGAGGTCTGGAGAGACTTCTCCCGTCTCCTCCGAGATCCTGCATGGGAATTTTCCCCACTTTTTTCGCTCTTGTCGCTGTTGCCGTCGTCGTGGTCTAGAGGAGGACCGTTGAAGACGAACTCGGTCCGACTCCCCTCGGGACTGGAGCTGCGGACGGGGACCCATTTATAGCGTCCGGGCAATGGGGTCATGGTCTCGAAATCAAAGTTCCACTTCCGCTTCTCCATCTCCCGGATATCCTGCAAGTCCTGGTCGAGCCGTCGCAAGAGTTCCCGTTTGCTCCCGCTAACGTCCTTCTCCCCGTCGTCGGCGGGAAAGAGTTCCCGCGAGACTCCGTCCGGGGACCGCGGGAACAACACACGGCGGAGATCCATCAACGGACACATCACACACGATTCCATCGGCGTTCGAATTCGGCTTTTTTTCTCTTCTCCTTATCTCTGGTTCAGGCAGGAGTACTGTTACATGATGGAAGACAGACGCGTGGACATTCACGTGCACGTGCACATGCACACGCACACACACACACCCACTCCGCTCCTGCACACAGCACCGCTCCGCGTCCGCACCGGGCCAGCGCACCCGTCCGTCTGTGGTGAGAGAGGGACGCAACGCTAGTCTAGAACCAGGTCCAGGGTCCACGGGGCGGTGATGTTTACGCTGGGTTAGATCACATGAGTCACAGGACCAACGGGAGGGCCAGGACTCGATCACGTGCTCGGGATATGCGCAATCACGGCCCTCCCTTCCCCTTCCCCTTCCCCTTCGCCTGCTCACTGCTCACTTTGGCTCAGTCGCTCGCAGGTCACGAGCTGGACAACGTCGCTGGCTTCGCATGCACAATAGGCCCAGCGAGTATCACTATGGTACTCCTACTCATGGAAGATCTTTAAAAACGTCTGTCTTCCTTAGAAGAGCGCTTCTTCTTGACGGTGTTTCTGTCACGTGTCGCAAGTACTGAACTGTTTCTGGCAGTACGAATACGTATTGATATCAAATACTAATACTTTGGATCCCATCCCATTGAGTGTGCCTGCATTCAAAATCTCTCCAATGTATTGTAACGTATAGGATCCTCTCCTATGAAGAAAATTTGTCTACGATGCTCTCACGACGCTTCTCTGTCCACAAGCGCTAAAATGTGAAATTACAGGGTGGGACCAATCGATGTAGGTGACCCGTAATTTTGACAAGTAAAAGCGAAAGCTGTCCAAGAACGAAAGAAAGCGGGAAACTAGACGCCCGTAAATCTTTCTGCACAAAGCATTCCAGAATCACCTGCGAAGACAAGCATTCAAAAGCTACCGTGACATGCCCTCCCAGAAGCGATTCTTGCTTGGACCTTTTTCCTCATGCATTATCCTCGTCATTCGCAAGAAATCAAGAAAAACCCTTGCCAGTGACGTTGGAACCTGACTCGAGGGTATCATTTACATAGTATGATGACAATATGGCCCCATGTTCATGAACATTACTGCTGTAAAGCATAAATCATTCCTAGAGGCACCGAAGAGATCGTCTTTGCCAAGAGAAAAAGTGCTGACCATTCTCATACACAATCACAATTAGGTTTGGCTTCTAGGAGTCTTTGAGAAAATTCGTGGAAGTCATTAAATTGGGACAGAAATTTTCTCCCAATTCCTACGAGAAATTTTCGCTGTATAGGTCAAAACTATTTCTGATTTCGCCAGGAAAAAAAGAAAGCCTTCGAGATACTGAGTGATACCAAGTAAGATGGCAACATTTTAATGACTTCCCACACAGGAAACATGTCCATGAACTCATATTCTAACGTCACTGGAAATCATCTCATCACTGCGACACGAGGAAGAAATTTCCGAGCGAAATTCGCTTCTCAGGGAGGGCATTGCCCATTTTGCTTTTCAATGCCTCAAGTCATCCTAAGTTATTCTTGCACAGAGATCTAGTTTCCATTGACAGCAGAAACTGCTGGACGACCTCTCTGAAGTGAGTTTCACGAGACCAGCATGATTCTCCTCCTCAGGACGCTTAGTTGCGAACTGTAAGCTTCCAAGACAAAAATCATACTTGAAATCATTAAGAATCTTTCTCATCACCAACAACGGCACTATAACGAGTCAATCCACTTCAGCTCTCCAAATACGCGGAACTGTTTACTGTCTCACCAGTGAGATATTTTAGCGATCATTCGCCTCTTCCAATGGATTCAAGCAGCCTTGAGCATCTTAAGTGGTGTGGAGTGCAGTTGATGCATTAACCCTGCACAATATATCCTTTTATTGTCACGTTTTAGTACACGTGGGATCACTATGACCCAGAAGTTTCGTACCTTTCACTGGCCGTGCCCGAAGGAGTGGAAGATAGACACACAAAAAGTAGATTCTTTTACTTCTTTGGAGTGTACGGTTTTTTCCTAACTTCTACAAAGCTATGACCCCCTGGCATCCAATAAAATGCGCATCAAAAAAGGGTTCATGATACGGTGGCAACACGTCTACCATGGACTTCTAAGGGCCATCAAGCGACCCCGTTCGGGAGAACCTCCTCCCTTACATGTACGGTGCAACTTCTCAGGTACTCTTCCTGTCGCATTGAATATGACAGCGGATGTACACATGCCACTACAACCGTTCATGCTCCTCCCCCACCATGAAATGTACAAACCGGTTAAAAACATTTTCCTGTCACAATGATCCAGGGTATACTGTGCAGGATTAATTGATGTGTATTTGAGGATGCGTGGGTGTATTTATCGTCGGCGGAAGCATCAAGACCCAAGGTTGCATTTTTTTACAGCATCACTGGTTTCTCTAAATCGATTGGTGATGAATTTCTAGCACTCCATCAATGTACCATCAGTTTTTTAAACCTACACACTAAATTTGGGCTAGGTGGCCTAGAAACATTCATTAAATCGTTCACCTCGAGGACATCTTTGATATAGGACTTCTTAGAGACAAACTTCTGGTGGGCGAACCGGTTCCAAAGTGTATTGTTTGGAATTTCAAGAACCTTCGGGTCGTTTGTCTCGCGAAGAGATTCAATGTGACAGTGATTTAGGGTGTTTTCGGAGTTTCAGCAGAATAACGTTTAAAAATCTCAAGAGAGAAAACCGCGTGGAGTGCGTTGGAAGTGTGCAGATCGCCTATGTGACGCAGAAAACGCGTTTCATGACGCTGTTTGATAATCATTGTTTTCCCAGATGGGATTTGTTTGCATATCTACAGAGGCCAATTACGATTCGACAGTTGCATTCCCAAGAATGAGTCACGGTCCCAATTAGCACTAGATACGAACTTCGCACGAAGATCGTAAAACTTTCACAATCCTACGAAGGCTTCACGCAATAGGCCCCTGCATCGGCAGGTCTCTCGGGGGCACTGACACAGCCTCCATTCGTCGATGGCAGCTGCATGAAAGAGAGTATGGACACGGAGAAGTTCATGTGGAGTTATTGATATTTTCGCTTCGATAGGATCTCGCTATAATTGTCATGCTATTCTAGATAGCAATTGCGTGGAACAACACACAGGTCTAAGCTGACAAAATTAACATCACCTCAAGAAATTGTGTAAGAATCAAGAATAGTGCACTATAACGGAGTGTTTTCCAGTTAATTTTACTGTAGTAGTGAGCTCTCCTAAGTACTGTTCCGGACAGGGACAAAATGCAATCTCTGTCAAGAGTCACTGGTGTGGTTTCCCTTGGTGTCGATTGGCGTTTTTGTGGATACCTATCCAATTTTTGTTTCTCTAAATCAGCACGGATCTACAGATATTTCCACTTGACAATGCTTAGTCGCTAAATGTTATCAAGTTCCAAGAGTTTTATTTCAGCTTTAGTTCAGCAATTCAAGGAACATGGATGCCAGTTAGACTTTATCTAAACTCTTTGATCGTACCTGCAGATCGGGAAAAGTAAACTTATTATCCCTGGAAAAGTGACTGGATTTGGTGCATCGGATTCCCAGCCATCCTTGGCACATCAAGTAGATCAGAAGTTTCACGTGTCACGTTCATCTGTCAGCAAAAAGAGGAAAATGCTATGGTTTGCTGGCAGCTGATAGCGACATTTTGGAAATTATGATCAATTCTTTGTTGTCAAGGATGACTCTTGACTCGATGTACCAATAGTAGTAGTCAGTTCAAGAGTTATTTCTTTTTCTCCATCTGCAAGGACTACAAATGAATTTCCGTAGGTCTAACCTTGCTGAGACCAATAAAAAATTGAACTATGCACTCAAACAAACATAAAAACACCAGGAAAGTCACCAGTGACTCTTAGTAGAGACTGCACTCTGTTTCTGTGTTCTCCTCATATCTGCTAGAAGAAGGCTTATCAGAGAAGGTACTAGAAGAAGGCTTATCGGAGAAGGTACAGCAATGTTTCCAGGTGTTACAACCAAAAACACACCATATTAGTAATGCAATATTCTTGCTTCCCATGTACATTGTGGACAGATATGCAAAGGTAAAAACTGAAATCAGGTATTAATGGGTGCGCCTGGAATTCATCACACAACAAGCACGATGCCAAGCTACCAGTTCAATAACATGTCGCAACGATTGGTTGCGATTGACAACGGAAACTTGGTGACTCTCAATATCTATGGGATCACGTAATCCGCAGGAACTACTAAAACGTGAAACCCGATTGAAGAAAATGGTAAAATGGGACACACATCAGGGTCCACACATTGTTTGGCCAATGACTCCAGTGAAAGTTCATCGATGTATGCCGCAATCAACAACTGGCGAGCACACCCATTCTTGGGCATTTGCTGCCCTGATGGGCAATAAACTGAACACATTACATCTCCTATCGATGTGTCTTATAGATAGACCGGTTCTCCAATGTTTACCTTTGCACATTCGACCACAGCCCCATCCCCTATTCAGCATCTACCGCCATCTCGTAAGCATGATAGCTTTACAGTCTAATTGTATGCAAGCCTTACGCGCACATAGACCTCTCTGTCAAGTTATCTCCTGAATGCTGTTAAGCATTCGACAGCCCTTCCTGCAGTTATGGCATAGATTGCTTAAAGTGGTTTTGCCAACCCTGTGTACGAGATCTGCGAGTTGAACAGCAAGTACTGCTTAGGCCTCTTATGCAAATTCATCGACAGAATATTCAATGGTGGGCTTCGGGAGTGAGCAGGTATCGCTCATGCCTTCTCCTAGAACAAGGCTTCTCCATACTGGCTTTGATGGACAGCAAAAGGCTGAATAGGCGTTCGCGTAAAGCATGACGATAAAAATTCCTCATAAAATAGAGATCTTTCAAAAAATTTGTAGAAAAAAATTATGACCTTCGCCGAGTATCCAGTGCTATACAGAATCACCTCCGCGAAGAAAGGATTCCTTGATCCGCAACCAATGATAAGGCTTTTTTCTTTTTCCAGGCTTCATGAAAGAAGAGAAGGCCGAGGAGGGGGGGAGAAGTGACGCCCGGGGCGAATGTCTGTGCCAAAAAATGCAAGATGACCTTATGACTTTTGCTCTGAGGGTCACGGAGATCTCCCTTCTCCTCCCCTCCGCCTCATTAATGCACTCATGGAGAGAGAAAGAAAAATAAGAGAGAAAAAGGTAGGCATTAGGAATTCGTGAAAACCTGGGAGAGAGGGAGGGAGAGATTGAAAGGCGTGGGAAAGGCGGACTGGATTGGAATTTTTATGCGC